GTAGCCTGAATAGCTATAAACTGGTGAAGTCCAAACATCTGAGTGTAAAAGTTAAAAAGGAAAATAACTATGGGAAGTGGAGTTACTGAAAGGTAACCGGACGTGTTTGCCCATTTGACAGGAAGAGCAAACATGTGCATCGGTCTTATTACACTGAAAATCAAAAGATTGTAATAGCTGGGATAGAACGAGTGTCCCTGGATGGCCAAGCCGCTGGTGCCAGAGTGAGATTCCGAAGGAAGCAGCAAGAGCTTGATGATGCGGGAGCCAAAGAGGATAGAGGTCGCCCATGCTCTCACATCGGAGCATCTCCGCCCTGGTACGAAGATCCTTAACGGAGAAACCAACAGGGTCAAACTCGATCGAAACATTATTGTCGCGGGTTAAGCGACGAACAGAGATTAAGTTTTTTTATCAAAGATGGTGAAATAAGAACGTCATTCAGATGAAGGGGATGGGTGGCAGTGGGAATGAATGTTCGTGCTTGGTGCGTGACAGGCATGCTAGCACCATTACCCACTGTGATAACAGATGACAAAGGATGAATGGAAGAAGAGGGAAAGTTACCCGGGGACAAGGACATGTGGGACGTCGCGCCGGTGTCGAAGTACCACTCAGATGTGCTCGGTGGTGCTGCGGAACGCCGGCAGAGTTGAGGGTGGCGTAGAGAGCAGCAGTGTCGAACGCGTTCTGGGGCGCGCCGCCATGGTGACCAGCCGTCATGGCGTGTTGAGGTTGGAAGGGCGGCCGTGGGCCGAGAACACCGGCCCCTGGCGCACGGAATGGCATAGGCCACGCCTGCACCATGCCCTGCCATGGGTTGTAGCCGGCGGCGTAGGGTGTACCCTGGTTGTTGGAGGAGTTGTTGTTGGTCCTCGTTCCGCCGCGTCCGCCGCCGCTGTTGTTGCCGCCGCCCCCGCCGCGTCCGCCACGACGTCGGTTGGAACGATTGTAGGAGCCCCCGGTGTTGGTGTGGTTGTTGTGACGGGGGGTGTCGGAGGAGGATGATCCGTCGTTGGCGGAGCCGAATGATGCGCTGGATCGATCACCATGAGAGGCGGTGAGGGCTTGACTGGCTTCAGCCTTGGCGTCGTTCTGGAGACTGATTTCCTCGAGGATGAGGAAGGAACGAGCGCTCATGAAGGTGTGCGGCGGGTGTTTGGCGGTGATGACCGGCTTGACGTAGCGGTACTTGGGGTTGAGGCCGCGGAGTAGATTGAGCACCTGGCTCGGCTCGGAGACGGGGTGGCCGATGTCGCGGAGCTGATCGGCGAGCCTCTTCAACTTGGTGCAGTACTCATTCATCGACAGATCGCCTTGCTGCAAGGAGCGCAGCTCCGCCTCCAGGTAGACGGCGCGCTGCAGCTCATTATCCTGGAACAGGTCCTCGACGGCGTGCCACAGAGAGAACGCGTCGTGGCGATCACGGCGAACAATGTCGAAGACGGACTTGTGGACGGTGGAGAGGATCCAGTTGACGATGCATGCGTCAACCATGCGCCACTCGCCGTCGCGATCATCATCGGGCGCAGTAGAATGGACGTGGCTCTGAAGGCCGAATTTTCCGAGGGTCGACTTGAAGAAGAGACGCCATTGGCCGTAGTTGGCCTCGTCCATGTCAAGGATGACAGGAACGTGATGGCGGATGGAAATTCCCTGGATCTAGGAGGCGCTGGCTGGATCAATGGAGAAGCCATCATCGGAGGACTCTGAGTTGTTGGAAGAGGGAGCCATGGCAGCGGAAGAAGTGGCAAAGGGATTTACGAAAACCTTGGACAATGGAAGGGAAAGCACAGAGAGAGTATGATCCAAACTCCACACCTTGTATTGATCTCAAGTGTTACATATATATAGTTACATGAGAGGCCATTGGCCATGATTACACAGGTGGTGCGGGCGAGCACGCTACGGCAGTTGTGCGAGCGCGCATCAATCGGATCGCAGGAGAATCGCCGTGGTGACCTCGTCCAACGGAGCAAGTGCAGGAGCGTGGGCATGTTGTGCCCCTGAAGACTCGGCAATGATCTAACCGCCACGGGAGATACGACTCTGCTGACAAGAGTGTGTGATTGTCAGACTGTCAGCCTGTTTGCTGGTTGATTTCTGGACTGATAAGTTCGGCTGATGCTAGTTTGTTGTGTGACGAACAGGCTGTGTGTGCGCGCTCAAGGTGAAGGGACCCCTGGATTAGCTGGATGAGCTAGCTAGCCTGGCTTTGTTTAATCCTCATCGCAAGGAATGACATAGGACGCTAGCTGTCGTTCGTGACTTCAAGATCGATACAGTCACACAGGCAAATAAAAACTACGTACCACATGGTTGGATTGGAATGAGATTACTATATGAACTTTGAGTATATACACACAATAATAGCTCTTCTTTCTTGGTGTATATATGCATTTTATTTTCGGCTTTGTCTTGTTTGGACCTAGATTTGCATTGCCGATGCATGTCTCGACGTGTTGCAGATTCTGTGATCGTGGAGAGCTTTTCTTTCATTTCATCGTATAGAGGGTGCGGGGCACGGCGTCCGACGCGGGACGGTGTCGTGTCGACCGACCTCGCCGCGAGCAGGGTGGACCCACATGCTACAAAACGAGCAGATGCCTCATTTTGCCCCCCGATGAGGTTGAGAGCAGGTATACGTTTGACCGGTTATCGTTCAGTCAAGCTGGGGAGTGGCAGGTGGTGGTACGGTAAACGACGACAGCGAGCGTGTACGTTCAGATCATTCCTTGCTTGTCACCTCAAAAAAAAAAAAGGAAACATGCTAATGATAGCCTGTTCGTTTGTTCGTAAACGATCGTAAATTTTCAATCGGAAACAGTGTTTTTCTCTCACACCAAACCAGCCAGCAGTAAATAATCCACGATCATTTACGGCCTTCCGAACAGGCTGTTACACACATCTAGTACGTATATCTATCAAGCTAGTATAAGTCAAGGCACGCGCACGCCTGCCCTTACGCAATATATACTGCAGGGCAGAACCAATGATCCGATCCTTAATTGTAGGCGCAGGGCACCTCCAAGTGGATATGTTTACACAATTAATCTAATGTTAAATGGACTACCTGTTTGGATTAAACTATATTCATGTGAGTACTATATATATGTTCACTTGGATAGCGTGAAGATAGATAGGTTCAAGAGGAGTACAAGCTGCGTCGATATTGGTGGTTTCCGTTAATGTAGTATCGAAACAAGGGGTCTTTTGCTAGAATGGTCTAGCTTCGGTTGTGTTTGGTCGACCCCTTCGGCGTTCGATAGAATCACGTTGTATGTTTGTTTAAACCATTCTCCTTAATACAATGATACGCAAATCTTTTGCGTATTCGAGAGGAAGAAAAAAGAGGAGTACAAAACAAAAACTAAGGTCACGAACACTGTACGGAGAATGTCACGGCAGCCCACGAAAGCACAGATTAAATTAACGTCGGCAATCAACCTAATTCAAAATTTATCCTAAAATAAATGTACTTCTAGATACGAGACAGCCTAATTCTAGTCGTCTTTTTCTACTTTCTCTCTTCTCGTGGAGCAATATGATTACATCTTTATAGGGGTATATGTGTAATTTCTTACTAACATTGATCTCTTCACCAAAATACTAGAAGTGCACTTATTTTGAGTCACGTGGAGTAGTTCTTTTGTGTAGTTCGAGAGAAAAAAAAAACTTCTAACATTTGAGTATTTCCAATCTTACAGCCTGGCGTTGCAGTGAAGCACTGCAAGGAGGGCACCGAGAGTTCTGCTTTCTGGTTTGCTCTTGGAGTAAAACAAATTTATACAAATAAAAATGCTCCTCAGGATATATATTATTACTAGAGAGCCTCACTTGTATGCATTCTCATTCAAGGACGGTCAGTTGCTGTAAACTTCGTACATACTAAAATGCAGTTGTATATCCGTATGAAGTTTCTATTTCCTTCCATTCGTTTTTGAGATATCTATGTTATACAAGCTTTTGGCCTAATTATCATTTTATTACTCTGTTTTGTTTATGCTACGATCATCGTCGTCATTAACAGTGGAGGTTGGTACGGTCCTCTTACACTTGCTCTTCTAAGATCTATATTTCGTATTGCACAATTCAAGGTATCTGGTTTTATGGGCTTTTTCAGGTTACTGAGATCTTCAACTTTTCCGAAGATGATTTGCTAACCGAAGACATGGTGATACTTGACACACATGGTGAGGGTTTTCATTTGGACTGGTCAGTGCGTGGAACCAAAAGAGAAACAGGAAGGCATTTTCAGAGGTCTCCACTTGATCAATCAAACAAATTAACAAATGTTTTAGCTTCAAACCGATAAAGAATTTTCTTATTACAGATAATTTATAGCTTTGAACCCATCCCATCAATAGTCTTGCTATTCAAACATCTTTTATACTCTGTTTCCATTTGCCAAGCAACAACCATGATCACATAAATAAATAATACTAATGTCAACACAAGATAAACATATTGACAGGAAGCTAATTATTTAAAACATGCAAATGAATACTGATGTCCAATTTCACACAAATTTAGCAATCTCCCATTCTTTTGTAGCGGTGCAATACAGATAAAACTCATTCCTTTATAATTCAGGAACATGTAAAGTACATATTTGAAACCAGAACAACCAATGCGATGACTACTAAGTAAAGTAATCCTCTGATCAGAGGCGGCACCAAGTGGGGCTGAGCCGCCATACCAAGTAGCACTGACCGTTTTTTCAGTTCCCACGGCGGTTGGGTAGTGCCCTAGTGGGTCTATAGTCCACCAATTGTGTTAGATTAGATGTGGACCACATGCTTTTTTTTTAACACTAAGTTTGACCAACTGATTATATTATATCCTCAGGGAAGGGCATGCAAATGGGCCGGGCTTTGCAGCTGATACCGTAGATCCAATGGGCCTTTTTTGTTGTTGATGAAATGGGTAGCTTTCCATTACTCACGAGTTGATTGCTCATCAGTGACAATTAAAACTTAATGAAATGACACGTGGGTCTCCTATATCATTCGAGAAAAATAAAAATCTTTGCAGACATCTTGACCTGTACCATCTTCATCAGACGCTTCATCTTCCTCTTTGACATCTTCATTAGCATCATGTTTGTTTGCATCAGATAAAATCTCCATGTTTTCTTCTGTTCCATCGTCCAAGTCTTCACTTTCCGATGAAATATTTTCATCTAGCAACTCAGCACCTTGCACATTGTTAGCAACAGTGACTTTCTCCAGATGCTTTCCCGAGCTTTTGGATCATCAGGGCGGCCATGATCTTTCACTAACAATGAAGGGCAGATCTGAACTTCAATTAAAAGAGGTTTAGCGATAAGGAATTTCAACATGTTGAAAAACATTAGAAAACTTGCAAGCAAAGACCTGACCTCTCTGAACAAAGTAATTAGTGAACGAGCAGCAATGGAAACAGTTTTCTCATGAGATTTTTTCAGCAGATCCTAATTCAATTCATCATCTGCAGGTTTCCCGGATGAGTGGATGAAGTAGCAACATGAGCGAAACACAGAAACTGCACATCTCCAAGGGCGTGATTGGTAGGTTGAGTCTGCTGGTGCAAGGCCGGTCTCATGCAGCATCTTTTACTTCACTGCTTGTTTGGTTTCCTGCGCCGGTAGTCTGAGCCAGGTCCGCGCGAACCCCAAAGCACCTTCAGCCAGGCTGAGGAGAAACGCAACTCGGCTTCGTTTCTCACGGGCCAGGCCAGCGCGGGCTCAAAGCGGTGGGCCAACCTGCGTTTCCCGGGGCGACGGTGGTCAATGGTCCCCGATGTCAGTGAGATCAAGCATTGGGTCGACGCGCTCGGGCGGGACAACAGGGGAGGAAAGAATTTGAAATTCAAACTCCAGGGAAGCCTCGGATCGGATGCCAGGGAGGCGGAAGACGACGGAGGCCGCGACATGGGTTGAGATTTAGTGAACCAAAACAAATTAGGAGAAATGATAAGAAAGCAATTAACATTCAGATGATCTTATGCTTCCTAATAAATTACTTAACGCCCATTTGCAAAGGTTTCCATGCCTTGGACCTAAAACTAACAATAGTATGAGACTTTTTGGTTAAATTATTGATTTCAATACAAAGATACATCATCTATATGTAGCTGTAAGTCAAGAACATATATAACTCATTATATCTAAAAAAGAACATATATAACTAACATGCCATAAATAAACTAGGGGAGTTGTCTGAAAAAATAAATAAACTAGAAGCAATCCTGACTGTGATTAGAGTAGCGGTGCCATTAAGCAATCAACCATTAAGTTATTGCGAACAACCTCAATATGGATTCTAATAGAGGCAACCCTGAATCCAAAGGCATTTCAATACTGCCAGTTTTAAATAAAGGTTTAAGAACTCATCAATTTCATAGCATACCGAAAGTGCTGACGGAATTGTCGATGCCAGAAGGCTTGCCATGAATGATCTTTTCCCCTTGGAACGCCCATTGGTTGACTAGCTCAAGATCACCCTTCTCCAACTCCTCCCACCCCTCGGCACCCCTGCGCGCTCCAACACTGACTGCGCCAGCAGCCGTCAATAGCACCCCTGACATGGACACACAAAATGCCGTCGACGAGCCGAGCCCTGCGCCCATGGGCAGGTCTGAGGTCACCACTGCCTTGCCAGGCCTGCATCTGCACAAGAACACAGCCAACAACCACATGTGTGAAAACAAAAAAAAAACGTGATGTGGGCGAGTGTCAGCACTCAGCACTCTGCGAGATTTAGTGTTACATCTGCTCCAACCTTTGCAGCTACTAATCCCGGCAGTGAGGTCCCACCGCCAAGCTGCAAATGATACGTGCAAATCAGATAAGAGCGTAACTGTAGCATTGTTCCATCAAACAATAATGTATGTGCATTGGAATGCCGGGGATTTTTCGGCCTCAGACATTGACAATAATACCAAAGGCCTTGGGACACACGAGCAAGTAGTCCTACTGACCTAAGATTGGTGGATGGGAAGTTGAACAAACACATACTCCCTCCGTACTGGGAAATGAAGTCGTTTTAGGGGTTTAGATGATTTGCACAAATCAAGTCGTTTTGGCTCTGTTAACACTCTTTTGGACGCGTTTGCCCCCGGCTTCTTGTTCCTTGTGCTTCATTAATCGCGACGCTCGCCTCGCTTCGTTAATCGCGACGCCGCGGCCGCAGTCAGTGACTCAGTGCGTCACTCGATCGCTCGTCTCCCCTTCCTGCTTCCTTGCCTTCTTCGCTCGCTCGCGCTATGGAGTCCACGGAGATATTTCGTCGCCCACGGCTGGTGCCACCTCAACCGCAAGCACTACCCGTACGCTGGCTCTGCTGGCGTGCTGGTGTGGTGACGACCGTGAAGTAGTAGATGAAAAAGAAAGATGCCAAGACAGAGCACTAGAACACATCAGTAAAGTTGAGAGCAGAAATCACGCATCAGGCAAAATCACGAACGGTCGCAAAAAAAGAGGCAAAATCACGAACGGCAAAAACCGGAGCTCCCAACTGCACAGTGCCATGCACATGCAAAATCACGCATCAGGCAGGCAAAAATTGGGCCAGACAGGGCTCGAACCTTGCTACTCCAGTCTCAGGCCACAGCGCACTAACCAATCCATCTGCCAACTATTGTTGTACTGAAAATACCCGTGACCTTATTTAATAAGGGCAAACAGGAAAAAATACACCCTAATTAACTACTCCTTCTATGCTAAATGCTGTCATAAACGACTTTCTTTACCGGTATGGAGGGAGCAGATGAGAAGTAGTAGTAGCACCTCAACAACTCTGGAAGCAGAGAACCGTGATCTCTGCTGCCACACGTACTCTGCAAGAATGACACTGCATGGCCAGACAAACATGCCGTAGTCCTCTTCGATGTTCTGTAAACCCAACCAAAAGGAAGTCAGGACACAAGAGCACAGCAAGAGAACCATGGGTAAAAACTAGAGAATCCAAGCCACGGGCTCGTGCTTCATGTAGCACCACGAGGCAGCAAACGGCTTAGCAGCAATTTATCAAGCACTTGCTCGGCATTCCATCAGCCACCGCCCACCAGCATGGCAACCGCCGATCGCCGCCTAGACGCGATCGAGGTTTAAAGACGCCGTAAGGACAGTCCGGACGAAACGCTCGGCCCCAGGCCCCAGCATATGAGAGATGAGAAGAGCAGTGGCTCTCTGCTAGCTATGCGACGCGAGCGTGGAGACTGGAGAGGGACGAGATGGCAGGCTGCGGTACCTCGATGATGTCGACCCTGAGGTCGTGGTGGCGCTCGGACGCACTGCCTCCCAAGTAGTGCCGCGACATGGTGGTCATACGCGCGGGGGCGGCCCGGCCACCGGAGGCGGCGCCTTCCATCGCTGAGACGCTGACGCATGCTCGCTGAGCTGTGCGTCTCGTCGTCGCAATGCAGGACGATCCAATTGGCTGCAGATTTTTTTTAAAAAAATAATAAAATTTTTATTGAATAATTAAAAATCTACAAGCTCTTATAAAAAAATCGCAAATATAGCATCCTGTCGGCCATCCAGAGGCCGACATCTAGCGGCTACTAGCGGCTCCTGCTGACAGATCAGTCGGTCTCCCGCAGGCCGATAGGTCTGTTGTCCAACTCGTGCAGGGGAAGGCGTGGAGACCAAGCTCCGGCTAGGGAAGGCCGCGGGCCGCACGGGCACTTGCCTCGCGCAAGCGCACTTCCGCAACGCAGGGGCGCAGGGCCACGACGCGCTTGCGCGGTGGCCTTGGAAGCGGTGGCTGGTGCGCGGCCTTGGCAAGGGGACGGATACCTGGACGCGCACGAGGCAGAAGAAGAGTTAGAGGCTGTCACATCGGGCCTAGCAGTCAATGACTCAGCCCACTCAACAAAAATCATAGAACCAAACACAGAACTAGGTTGAACCCAACCTACTGAACCAAACACGGGATGGGTTCGCCTCATCCCGAAAATCTAGGTTGGGTTCAACCCATCCCTGATGATCCCACAACCAAACACATGGCCTTGCGTACCGGTTAAACTTTTTTTTTTAACTTTGACTAGATTTATAGAAATATTAGTAACATTTGTATCTCTAAATAAATTTATTATAAAGATAGATTAAAAGATCTATCAATGATACTAATTATATAATATAAATATTAATATTTTTAATATATATTTAATAAAAATTGAGTACGTTTAACTTCTCAAAAAATGAGAATGGTGAATAAAAAAGCACGGAGGGAGTAAACATATTTAAGACAAAAATATTGTTCAACAGTGCATCATGGCCATCTTTTCCTGACATGGTATGGTCGATGGAGCTACATCAGCATGGGTGTGATGGCCGTGGTTATGTTTTAGGGCCTGTTGGCCAGTGGAGGGCCCATAGGCCTATCGGCCCGATAGCACCCACGGTACAGTAGTACAGTGCCGTATCCGTATCGTATCCACCCTATCGGTTTCTAGAACGTCGATAGAGTCATGTCGGCTCGAGTGGCCGATATGATCCCTGTCGGCCATTCAGACGCCAATAGAGTACTATATCTACAATTCTTTCCAAACAAATGCTAGATTCGCAACTAATTATTAAAAAATATTATTTTAAAAAAATCGAGCCCGATGTGTACACAAACAACCGATGGTTTTTTTACGTACACCAAATGTGATCGATACCCCACATCTCAATTTTGGATTTTTTGGATTCTTTTTCACTTCTTTCTCTATTTTTTTATTTTGATTTTCTTCTTCCTCCATTTTTAGATTTTGATTTTTTTTAAGAAATGCTTCAAGCTTTTTAGTTCTCCATTTTGGATTTTTTGGCTTCTCTTTTCACTTCTTTCTGTATTTTTTTTATTTTGGTTTTCTTCTTCCTCCATTTTTAGATTTTGATTTTTTTTAAATTGCTTCAAGCTTTTCAGTTCTTTGTGTAGTACCAGCAGTACATATTTTTTATTTTTTAACTTTTTTTGGCTTCAAACTTTTCAGTTATTTCTATAGTAGCAGCAATACATGCTACTCAGAGCGGCCTTAGCTCGCAAGTCTATCTGCTCACATGGCTCTCCCTCATGGTAGGGCCATGAAAGCAGCGGTGGCACAAGGCCGTGGGTTCTGTGATATCTGTTATGTATAGGCCGTATTTGTCAGGCTAGCTTAGTTCGAAAAAGGGCTCGATGTTCTGTACTTGAGCCGACCATTGTGTCTATGGATGACACGGTTTGACGACACATACGTAGCATGTTTTAGTAAAATATAAGATCAGGTTATATTTTCTGGGTCTATACTGGGCAGGCTATATAGCCATCTATAGGCCAAACCGAGACTGCACATATCTGATAAGCACATGTCCACACAACTCGTAACTCAAACATGTCACAAGCCACAACCAGAAAGACCGGTTCGAAAAAGGGATCAACGTTAGCTGACCACCATGCCTCATTGGTACGGACCGCGTTGAGTGGTGGCAGTGTGTTCGTTCGTCAGGCTGATCTGGTTTGGTGCTGGTGGTGTGGCTGCGATTTGCGTCCCTTCGAATTTGTGGCTCCGAAGGGCAGAGGCAGAGCGTTCATGGTAGTATTTTACTTGAGCAGGCACTACGTTTGCGATGAGTCAACATAGTACTGACCGGTGCGCGGATCACGTGCCGAAACTTGACAAGGGATCAACCTCTTCATGACGATAAACTTGCACGTCGATGAATGTGTAGAAGCAAAGCTAGCACATGAACGACTGACATGTGTACCAACCAGTTCTTGTCGAGCGATTAATCCGTCGTGGTAGAGCAACTCAAACAGTTTCCCCTCGGTCTAGGCGTGCCGCTACCCATTCGGATTGTTCTTTAGTTATTACAATATAGATTCCTGCCGTCTTAGTCCAGGCGTGACCGATGCAACTCCGAATCAGTCGAATTCCTCCAGGGCACGTACACAAACAGCGAAAGACGATCGACTTCACGTCACGATGGAGCCAGACCAATAGCTGCAAAGCCTACAAGGACTACCGCGCCGAAACCGAACGACGCTGAAGGTGAAGCCGAGGCCGAGCGAGCGAGCACGCACGCGCATCGGCGGGCGGTCCGACCATCTGTTGGACGCGGAGCGGGCTCGCTCTCGCGGGACACCGTGGCGCCGATAAGCTCATCTGAGTTTCAACGGTCCGAGGAGAGGTGCTGCGTTAGGAACTGAACCCTGCACAACGACGTGTACGAGCTCCGGCTGGACGGACGAAAAACAGCGACCCCTCACCCGGCGGCCAGACGTAGCAGCATGAGTAGTAGGAGTACGACAGGAGCCGGAGCCTTCCACGCGAGCCACCGCGCTCACGCAACCTGACAAATGCCGTGCCACCTCGGCGTCCCGTCCGGGAGAAGCTCCCCGCCGCCGACGTCGCCGCTGTCCCAGTGCTTTTCGCATCGCCCCTGCCTGTGGCCGCTCTTGTTGCTGGAACCCGGGCACCCACCCGGCCATGCCAATGGAAACTGGCGCACTCCAGCCGCTGCGGGAGCACCACGTGTAAGGGCCTAACCCGTCGCAACTCTCAAGACGGCCGGATGCGTGCGGTGATTGATCCGGGGGAAGGGGGGCGACTTGACCGGCCCGATGCGCAACACCTGGACGCGGCGCCAAGCCATCGAGGCGGCCATGGACATTTGCAATTGCAGGTGAAAACACGTACTGCAGGACACCGAGAGCTAGGAGCAGCAAATGTGACATGCCGGGCCCATCTCCAACGGTGGCGGCTGGGCCGAGAGAACATCATTAGCGCAGCCAACGTTTCCGTTTTTTTTTGTTTCTTATTCTTATTTTTTACCATTGGTCAAAATAATTGTGACATGCCGATCAAAAAAAATAATTGTGACATGGGCATGGCTAGCGTCCGGACGCTAGCCCCCGTCCGGACGCCCCCCGTCGCTGCCCCCGTCTCACGTCCCACGCCTGCCTGCTCACGTCTCGCCCGCAAGCACGTGGGGCCCGCCCACACCAGTGGGGACCGCCTCCGCCTTCCCGGGCCTGACACCGAGGCGAGACAACATAAAGGCGGCGATGAGGAAGATGCAACACTTGATCTATTTTTAAAACATATCCAGATACAACAATTGCAACATACGTCTAAAAACAAATGAAACATTTGAAACATGCGTCTGAAACACTTGCAAAAACACCTGGAAAAAAACACTTGAAACCATTATAAACATACGCAACATCTAGATAAAATACTTGCATCATATGTGTGAAAACATATGCAACATCCAGATAAACACACTTGCAACATACGTCGGAAAAAAACAGATGAAACATTGAGAATAAGAGCTTGCAACATACATGTACAACCATTGCAACATGTGCAACATCCCGATCTACGTTTGCAACATCCGTATGAAACACTTGCAACATACCTCAAACACTCAAAACAAATGCTTGCAACATACGTTTTCCCTTCTTCCATACGGCGCAGCGTAGAGCGGGGGATGGCCGGTTTCGGTCAGTCAGCAGCCGAGGATGGTGTCGTCGCCTGGCAGCGGCCAGTTGCGCTTGCGGCTGGCCTAGGCCTGGCTAGCAACACCCCCCTCTCCTGGCCGCCTGGCCTGGGCGCAGCGAAGGACGGAGCATGGCGGCGCGCGCGGGGGACGGAGGCGCCTCTGCGCTCGCCGAGCACATGCATGGAGCTTGGAGGCGGAGGGCGAGGCGCCAGCGACCGGGTCCGGCGCCGGTTGCAGTCTGTGGGGCGGCTGGCAGCGTACCTGACGCGGAGGATTCCTCCTCTCCGTGGGAGACGGTGGTGCCACAGGGATGGGGGCACCCAGGGGGATGGCGGCGCGCCGGAGTGGGCGGTGGCACGACCGATTAGGATAGACGGTCGCACATCGCCGTGAAGCCGTGCCCACGAGCGCGGAGTGGGGGTGACGAGTTTTCGTGGGGATTTGGGCCCTGTTTTTTCACGAGTACTTTTCAGCGAAGGAACAATATTTTTATGTCACAACGAATCAGCATCTACATCAGCAGCAACCAAATTTCAGCTAGCCAAATAGGGCCTTGATTTTTTTTATTAGACAAGCGAGGCACGCGGCAGTGGGTAGAGCGAGGGTCTTAATGGTAGCATTATGGTTGTGATATTAACTAACTAGTTTCAATGAGTTCCCAAAAAAAAAAGACTAACTAGTTTCAATGAGCGACAATACCGACCGTATGCAGGGTCATCTCCCACTACTACATAATTAATTTTAGTAAGGTTTTAATTTTTTTTAGAGAAATGCGATGCTTTCTATGCGTCCTCTCCCACTGTCTATTAGATCTCGGCACGCATGTGTACTTGCGGAAAGAAATATGCAATGTTTTTCTTTTCACTTGATGTCCATTTTCTGTCTCTCTTTTCTTTTTTTGGA